AAGTTTATTTATATATAATTATAAATTATTTTATTTTGTCTTTAATTTTTATTACCTTGTATATTTCTGTTATCGACACGTATTTTATATTGTCGGAATGCTTTGCCTTGGCCCTGTAAGTCGTTTCTTTTAAATCCTTCTTGAATCACGACCATGAATTAAAACAAATTCTCCCTTCCCTCTTCTCCTGTAAATAACCTTAGTGGATCATAGAATGCTCGTTTTTGCAGCGTGCACTGACTATCAATCAATCGATATTCGAAGGATATTAGAATCGGAAGAAATATTCGAAAAAATTTCAATGATTGCAACGCATTAATTTATCCGAGAATAACCACTGTATCAATGATTGACATTGCTCCGTTTCATATTTTATGCAAGACACTTGTGCAATAAAAAAGTAAGAAATAAGTATAAAATATATTAAAATGTAAAAAAGAATTTTTTTTCTATTTTCGTAATATTTCTTATAGATAATATAGCATTTTGTGACGTCTAAATATAACAATAGAAATTTAAAGTTTGTCGGTCAATTAGTACAATTTCTCAAAAAACATTAATAAAAAAAATTAAAAGCTGGATTAAATAAAAATTATACAATTATATATATAATTACAATAATTTTTATAATAAAATAATATGTATATAATTTATGTATATATTTCTCAATATTATTATCTCTCTCTCTTTATATATATAAAAGAATACATAAATTATATATACGTATATTATAATGACTATTTCAGGCTTTTAATGAAGGTCGCACATGTGAGCCGAAATAGCTCAGTTGGGAGAGCGTTAGACTGAAGATCTAAATGTCCCCGGTTCAATCCCGGGTTTCGGCAGTCGCGATTTTTTTTTTGTTTAATACTGAACAATATAAAAAAAAATAGTTTTTAACAATAGGTAATAACAGATGTGAACGAAAATATATATATTATAAATAAATATTTAACACTTTAACATGGTACAATCTCGTATCCTCTTTTTCATCCTTCTATGTGTTCCATTTTACCATAGTACTTTTAGAATTCCAGTTACTCCTAAATATCGAGATATAACTGTGGTATTTTAAACATTCTGTAGATCAATTTATAATTGAAGATCACATTGCAATAATACGAACCAATCTCACCTTAAAGATGTATGTGCTACATCTAAAAACAGTACGAAAGATATAAAAACATGATTGCTCTATTATTACTTTTAAATATCTGTGTAAATTTAAACATAATTCTCTTAGGATTGATTGTTCCATTTTTTGGTAAATTTTACGCATTAGATAAATTACGAGATCCGCATATGTAATCTCTATTTACACGTAAATTTATCGAAAGATGAAACAACCGTCTCTTATTGATTTAAAAATTACTTAATTTTTTTGTTTGTCTTGATTCTTATATGAAATCGCATTTCGTAATACTTATTAAAAAATTTTGTGAGAAAATAATATATTAAAAATTAAATCAAATTATATATAATACATAAATAAATACACACACACACACACACACACACACACTGATAATAAATAATAAATATTTGTACAAAAGTTTAATTGAATCCGCTTATTTATTTAGAAATTATTGGCCTAAAATTGCAGAAAAATACAGTCATTTTTTACTGCATAAAATCAATTATAAGATTATTATAACAATAAATTTTATTATAACAAATATTTTTTGTTTTGTTTTGATTGATTAAACGCTATTTTACAAGAAAATTTTTTAATTTTTCAAATTATATACAGATATTATACAAATCATGCAAACCGTGGAGATGTACATATGAATCGCATAGAAGTAGCAATAGATCAATGATGACATATGCATTAATGACTGACATTGTCTTGTTTGATATTTTTGCACGAAAAATAAATTTTCTTATTAAACGTAATATATTCTATAATAGAATTACATAAAATTTTGAACAAATCCATTTAGCATTCTTCAAATAAATGTTCAAATATTGTTATTTTTTTTTTAACCTGAAAAAGTAATTTTTCATCTGAAAAAGTAATTTGCTCTCTTAAATCTCTCTCTTTGAAAGGCTGGAAAGACGTGCTTGGAAAATCCGCTGTTTCAAATATCAAATACAGCCGGGATGATGCTGCAGGAAGAAGAAGAGAGGACCAAAGCGACACGACGGCTCACGTCGTGCGCATACTCCCGAGGCGCCGTTGGAGACCCGCTGCTGCACCTGCCAGCCGAGGTTGCCGTAGCCGAGGATTGGCCATTCGGCAGTTGGACCTTGGCGTGCGTGGCGTGAAAATGTCGACTGCTGACTGTACTGGTGGCCGCGCATACACATAGGACGAAGGGTTGCCGGGGGAGAGAGAGTTACCTTTCGTGGCGACGGTCACCGTGCTCCCAAGGCCTCCAAGGCCGTTCGAAGGCCTTGACGAATGTCATCGTAGATAAAAGAAAAAGACGCGGAGGGAGATACGCGCGTCCGAAGCCCTTATCTTAGCGGGGTAGTCGCGCCACGAACTGCCACGAGGTTCACGTGCCTTTCCCCGATTCGGCGCTCCGATTAGCCGGCTCTCCGTATTCCACGCGGAATTCCATCCGAAACGATGAGGCTCCAGCGGATGCTGCTCGTCGTCGGCTATCTGATGCGCTATCACATCGCCCGTTCAATAGCCGGTGAGTACGAATGCCCACGTACTCGCAGGTATACATATGTTTCCCGGCACACATCTGCCGCCTTTGTAATTATGATTTTCAATGAGAAAATATGTTATTATTTTGTATTTATTAAACTGTAAAAAATGTATTATTACATTTTGCTATTGTTAAATTGTATCAAATATATTATTTTTTGTTGTTACGTTTAACATTTAGCATTCTGTATTTGGTAAATGTACAAATGCAGATGTGCACGTGTTGAAATTTGAGAGAAGGATTTGATCGCGTGGAGCTAAATCCGACGCTCGGAAAATAAATGTGTATGCAGAATTATAACTTCGTGTAAACGCTCACAAGTTCATGTGAAATAATACTGTGAGGATTAATTCCAGATTTCTCAATCTTTTGTTAAATATCTAAAAAAAATATCTGTTTCATGTTTCAATGATTTTTTAAAACACATTAATTTTTAAATATCGGTGTAGCAGAATATAAGGGATATAACGAAGCGGTTAATTTGATTTAACAATTGATAGAGAAGAAGATGGATAGAAGAGATTATGGCTATTTATATTTTAAATAATAACTTGATTATTAATTAATATTTAAATTTAAAATGTACCGATTACATTCGTCAAAGTGCTGTTTACTCCATTCTAAAGTCAAAGTTACAAAACATTTTATTACTTAGAAATATTAAGAAAAATACTACGACAATGTTAGAAGAGAATTTGGGAGGCCATATTATTAAACACAAGGATGATAATGTGATCTTCCACAAAAACAGATTTCAGAAATTGGTTTTGTATAAAAAAAACACTTAGTTACAAAATTAACAAAAAATATTGCAGGACGTTTGCAAATGCACACATAATTTCTTCTGTTGATTACTAAAAGTTCTATAGAACATATAACATAAACTATAGATTAACAGAATTGTAATTAATTCATTGAATAATTATTTTGATATGAAAAACCTCGAGACCGCCAACAATCAACACGCTTAGAAAGCCACATTGGCAAAATGCTACGCTATTATTTAATGCCATGCTTTCATTTAATTCTAAATTGTTTAATTTTACTTAACTTAAAATGGGTTCAATCAAATAAAATATTAAATAAATAACATACTCAAATATGTAATACATTCATGTAATAATATGCTCACGTTTGAGAAGAATGAGAGATAATATGCAATTAAATATTAAAGTTTAATTAGATATCAAATCTTAAAAACGTTTCGAAATGCTTAAGATAAATGTTTTATAATAAATACTGGTTATTGTGTATTGATATATTAGCGTCATAATATAATGGCGATTTACTGAACAAATAATTTCAAAGTAATCACTAGAATTTGCCACTTAATAATGGAGACGCATTAAGAGGAACCATTATACCTATACGCTGGCTAATATCACTTTATCCTCTAATTAAATGATATATTTACAAAAAAGTAAATAAAAAAATTCTAAGAATGCGAACAAATCGCTTGTTTAAAAAGAATCATATTTTTTCTTCCTTTCTTTCTTTGTATCCTTTCTAAATATCAGATACATTACTTTATTGCAGTTTCTTCAAAATTTCTAAACAATGATTTTACTTAAAATTTAATTTTAATTTTAATTTTAATTACAATTTCTACACGGTTAAAACAGCATTTATAATATATATGTAAGTTTTTTTTTTAATTATATACGTACAGTAGCTTTAATTTATTGCCATTTAATTTATTGCAAAATGTAACTAATAAATATAACTAAATATATTATACTCTGTGGCAACTTCGAAGTTTGATAAGAGTAATAAATATTGTGCACTGTAGAAATTAGTGGAAGAGATTTATTATAACTTCTCTTCCTCTCTCAGTTCAAATCTTTTGTCATGTGCTATGAAAAAAATGACGCGCGTTGTAAAATATGGTTGTAGAATATAATATTGTATCATATTTTATAATGTTCTAGAATTAATATAGAAGTTTATTTTTAATTTAATTTAAGTATACAGGATGTTAGTTAAGTATGTTGCCATACTCAACAGAGAGATTCTTTGATTTATTTCAAGTAAAAAAAGTCCGTATAAACATGTGTCCTAAACGGCTTAGTTTCCGAAATACAGGTGAATGTTCGCAAATGTTTGACGAAACGGTAAATTGCATTGGCGATATCTTCCTGCATAAATATGCCTTGCTTCACGTGAGTTACAACCGTAAACAAAGTGACAAGGTCAAAGTCAAAGTCTCTGGGAATTACTAGGACATCTGAAATCATTGGTTTATACCACCCCAATTGAGAATGAGAATGATTTGAGGAATCGAATAGTTGCTTCATGCGAGGCAATATGTAATACATCTGATATCTTTGAGCGTGTACGTCAATCTTTGAGAAGAAGGCTCGATGGATGTATCATGGCGCAAGGTGGACATTTTCAACAATTCATCTAATTGTTTTATTTCATCCGAAAAACTGAAGCTTGTTTTTCTGTTTTTGTTTTTCTGTTTTTGACTAGTTAAAGCTGTATTTCTTTCAAATAAACAGATTATTACTACATGTCTAAATTTTTTTATTTTGAAAACTAAGCCGTTTAAGACACATGTTTATATGGACTTTTTTACTTGAAGTAAACCAAAGAATCACTCTGTTGAGTATGGCAACATACTTAACTAACATCTTGTATATTTATTTAGGAATAATTTGAACTTTTCCATTATTTTTTATAATGTTAAAGTAAAAACATTAGATTTAAAAATTACATTATTTAATACTCAATATTTTTTAAAACTTAAAATTCTAAGCTCTAGTCTCTATATAAGATTCTTTATTTTTTCTTTATATTAAACTTACATCTAATACATATTCAATAATTCTGTACATTAATATTCTTATTTTTTAACATATGTTCATTTTTAAGAAATTAAATTGTAATTTATGAACTCAGATTTTATTAAAAATTTTTATTAAACATTTTTGTAAATATTAATATTATTGTTAAGATAAGTGTATTCCAATATTGCCAATACTGAAAATTTATATTTAATGTTACATATATGTATACCACAGTTTTCAGTATTGGCAATAATTATCGAAATGCAGTCTATATTAGATATAAAGTACCAAAAATTTTTCAATATTTAAATTTTAATTATAAAATATTTGGCCAATTAAAAATAATACGATATATATTTTTTTAAGAGTTATAAAGATAACGAGAGATTAAAGCAACGATAAAAATAACGGCTAAATTCATTAATATTACCAAAAAGGTAACAAAAATTGTAACGACGTTATAAGTGACGTGATACTCTTCGCAATCCTAGAAAATAAACTTTTTCTTTAAATATAAGCACATTTATTATTAATAACTCATTAAGTTTCTTTTATTTACTTTACAATAATATATTATAATATCGTGAAATATACTATATTCTTATTTATTCGTTGTCAAATCATCGTTTATTATATGATGTTTGATAATTATAACATCATACAACATTTAATTATCGAGGGCGATAATCTAATATTGACACAAAATTATAATCTAATATTGTCAATGTTTCAGTCTTCAAAGGTATTGAATATCTGAAGGAAAATTGATTCCTGAATATTATAACATTGTTAGCATCTGGTGCATGCGTAATAATAGATAAAATTCAGCGCAGATTATGCAACATCAGTGGTCGCTGTATGCTGTAGATAAAACGCTTAATACCGCCGTTCGATGTTGCATTTACAAATAAAACAAATTTTAAGTAACCGCAATACTTGTAAATCCGTTTACATGTTTATAATAGTCGATGCGATCTGAGACGCGTATTCTTAATTGGAAACGATTTATTATATGTGTGTTCAATGTAGTGTACAGTAAGATAATTTATAAAAATTATTCCTTTGTAACTGATTTATTTTTTCCTTACTATTTAAAAAAAAATGGACCGATATTTTTAATTTAATCTGCATAAAAATATTACACGATTTACAGACACGTTGACTAAATCAGTTAATATTGAATTAACCAGTTAATGGTACGATTAACTGTAATGACAATTAATATTAACTCAACACATTTTAATTGGTTACCTATTAATTAATTTCATATGGTAGCGGAAAGAGATAAAGGGCAGCGAAGATAAAGCAACGCAATTGATTTACTGAATTAATGACGCTTTAGCGGACACCTTGCTAACGAGGCGCCATTGTTCGCGATTTCAAAAGAATCTTCGAATGTACATCCTGTCAGTTCAAGAATCGATTCGTTAAAAAAATGCTAAAAAGACGTCGTTACATTTTTTCTGTTTGTTAGTATTAAATCTTATTATCTGGACACGTTTTATGCTGTACACAAAACATAATACACAATATGTAGAATAAACATAAATGTTCTGAAAATGTATATGTTTCGTTTAATTAACTGACACTATTAACACATTATATGACTCAGAACTACACATATTACATCTATTTTTTCTCAAAAACAATTTATTTGAAAATTTATTAGCAATTTAAATTTCCTTTGTAACTTATGAAAGTTTGACGCGAACGAATGTTTTTAACTTCATATTTATACCATATGTAACCATATGTAAGAATAAAATAATCTTTTTTACTTAATAAATTTTTTAATAATAATCTTTATTAATTAAAAAATGAACATATACATATATTACATTTAAATTTCAAACACTTGTAAATAGTACAAAATTTTGAAACCGCAATAATAATATTCCAAAATTTGATTATTAGACTCTGCAAATAAATGTTTCTGGGTCACATACCGAATACAGAAAATATCGCACAATAGTTTGTTGTATTGTATTGATATATGCTATATATCTTGCGGTGTGGTCACAAGCATTTGAAAATCTAATTAAAAACGCTTTCGTCAGACACGGTTAGAAACAAAAGGAATTTTTTGAATAGAGGTTCTTCACGCTCACGTAATGACTTGTACAATTGCAACGAGTCGCAAGAATAGTCGAGCAGAAAAACTCAAGTCACTCATTACTTTGCGTTCGTTTGCGGTAACTGAGCAAGCATTTGCCCTAGAAAAAAACTGTATTTAATTCAGAGCTCGTGCAGTAAACTTCTAATTTTATAGTTTACGACATAGATATAGGCGGAATGACAATCAGGAAGTAACTGAAACTAAATAATTATTATTTTGTAACAAATGAATGGAATGAAATAGATTAAATACTCGGAAAAATCTGTTACCTATTTAAATAACAAAATTATACATTTATAAACTTGTAAAAATGAACTGAATTATGAAAAGTTGTCTCTTTTATAATAATTATCTCATAATCCAATTAATTAAATAATGCAATTTGAAATATTGTTATTTAAACCATTTTTTAAATTAATTTTTTAAAAAGAAGATACGACGTTTTCAATTTATTTCAAAGAACTTAAAACGTTAAAAAAGTAATTTTTGTTGCTAATGTTTTTTTAGAAATTCGTACTTTATATGGAATATTTCATATACGAAAGTAAATTATGACAGTAATATTATTGCATATGATATTATACGATCAATATTATATAAGTAGAGCAAAATATGTCTACTTTCAAAGACATCTGTTATATACATGGCATCATACAAATGCTTTATTATGTAAAGTACCAATTTTGACGTACTTGGCATCAGTACTTAACGTACTTGAATCTATTTATGTACCAAAATGACGCAAAATTTTAACAGTTTTGCATCTGTATAATGAAACTTTCACATGTGTAGAAGATATTGAATGTACATAATATCAAAGATAAGTAATCGATAATAAATATTATAAATAAATAATATCCTACAATATTAAATAAATCAATGAATATAATCCTGAATATTTTAAGTTGCATAAATATCAAGACATGATAGATTTTCTGAGTACGTTAAAATTAATTATCACATGGATTCGCTGGCTGAATTGTTTATAATCCGCAATTTTAATGTCCTAAATAATTAAAGATCATAAGTACACATTGCCTGTACAGAATAGAAAAAATTGACTTTTTCATTCTAACTACAAGCTTGATTGATTAACATCCTAGTGTCATCCCAGGGCTTCGTAACTCATCGCGTGGCTACAATATTTATTTGTTTGCGCAATGTGCTATCCTATTTTCTTCACGTATCGATCTCTTGTCACACTCGTTACCTACACCACGCTTTGCACCTCTTCACATTCGTCGCTTCCATATAGATTTCACCATCCGGAAGACCTAAGATCAATACGTGCCCTTTTGGGTACAAGATATTTTGATCAGTTCGAATGTTTTTTTCAATTGCAATATTAAAAGAATAATATTTGATTAATAATTAATCAGATGATTCTAACGGACTAGTTTCAGAAAAATATATAATATTAATTGTTGAGCTTGTTACAGTACATCCTCTTCTATTTTTTTAACTGTTTCATTCTATTATTTAAAATATTGTTTTTTAAAAAGATTTATATGCTAACTCTTAAATGTTAAATTGGTCGAGGCTACGCCAATTTTATTAGTTCAATCTTGTCCGATCGAACGACGGTCCGATGAACTTTCACGACTGTCTAAAATAATGACCTAATATACAAATAGTTCTCACCGCATAAAATGAAATATTTTAGCTTCAACATGAATACGCAATATTATTGCATTATTGCACGAGATTAGTATAACTGAAAAGAAAATTGCAACTTTCAAAAAGTTGTAAATGTTTTCTTACATTGAGAATAAAAGATTATTTAAAAGATCATTTTCGTAAGTCTGGACCTTAGGTCACCCTAAGACTCGTAAGGCGCAGACGTAATTGCTTGCTCTAATTATGAAATTGGGTTGTGGAACACATGAGTATATGCGTTCGTGTCATACGCGCAAATTTCCGCAAGCGGATTCAATTAAAACGATCGTCTAATTTGACACGATTTCATTGTTAAGGGAATGCGTCATGCTGCGATAAATTGCACGATGATTGTGATTACAGATTGATTTAAAATAACGAAGTGATTTAAAATAATCACATCGTTATTTTATTTTTTTTTTTTAATAAATAGTGATTCGACTAAGCAAGAAAATTTATTGAAACACACTGAGGAAAGCAATCCTTCAATCGTTGAATTTTTCATTTATGATTTCGATTACAGCACCTATGAGAGCGACAAGTCAGGCTTTATTGGATGAAAATGATATTACGTTTCGGGATGACAGCGATGATGACGTCACGACAGAGGACCCGTTTCTCAAAAAGTGCATCGTAGACGGAAATTCCTATTTTCACAGTCAAACGGTAACGGCTAACAAAATATACTGACGATTTTTCCATAGAGAAAAGTTTTTTTCCAATATTATTGGAAAGAAAATTTACAGAGAAAAAAATGTTAAAATGTTGATATCTCCAATCTTTACAAGAATTAATAAATAAATAATAATTAATAATTTATAAATAAATAAATAAATCAAAAATTATTTTTAAAAATTTAATAAAGAATAGTAACTCTTCGGTGCCGCTCGATATCTCTTTGTCATGTATCTATCACGCTGAATATATTGTGAGAAATATAATATTAAAATAAACATATTATAACAATTTTTTTCAATCGAAACACCAGACATTACACAAGAATATGATGTTAATAAGTAAAATGTATGTATCTTCATTAATAAAAAATATAGCATAGCAAAAAGTAATCTATGATATGTCACAATAGAAATGGCATTGAAGAGTTAAAGATAACAGACATTTTTTTATTTTAAATGTAAAGTAACAAAAACTATATATATAGAAACAAAAATCACGTGCTGTACTTACACGTTTAGTAAAAATTATTTTTTTCTCGTCTTTCTCTCCCTTTCTATCTCCTTCGTTTTCCTCGAATTGATTTTTTATTAAGTGTTGAGAAAGTGCTGAGAAGGATCATCATTTATCACAGCTTCAAAATCTTTAGCCTCATATCTCTGTAAGTAACTTTCTCAGAATTCTATTACAGTAAACTCTATTTAAACTGATGAATATAACTGTGTAATCCATTTGGCTCTCTAAAGTTTTGTCCATGAAAAGCTTTTCGTTTACAATTATATTATTTACAATTATTTAAAAAATTTTAACGTTTTAATATTAAAAGAATATTTTAATGTAAAACTATTTATTTTAATGTAAAACTTTCAATTTTTTAATAAATCATATTAATAGAAAATATGTATAAATAATATACAATAAAAAGAAGAATTTCAGAGAGGAATTCGAAATTTGAAATATTTCCTATAGGCGATTTTAGTTAGTATAGGAGACAAAATAAAAACAGGCTTTTTTTAGGTAAAATAGGGAAAATTTCAAAAACTAATTAATCGATTTGAAATTTTCAAGAATTATTCTACACATGATTGGCTACGTACTTCGAGAAAATTTTTTGTTGAGAATTTTATACTTTTTATGCAATAAAATTATCAAAAAAATTAACATTTAATTTTGATATCTAAATTTTGAACGCAATTTTGTAATTTGCTATCTATTAACAATTTTGGTACATGCTATTGCGACACTCATACTAATCAAGTATCTTCGTGAATTTTTTGTTTCAAACAGATAGTTTTAAGGACCTAATATTCTGCGCAAACTAAGAATTTTTTTCTTAATATTTTTTTCCATTAACTCTTTTCCTAAAAACGTCCTTTTGCTCTTCAGATACCGTCGTATGACTCAAATTCACATTGCCTGTGCGTCGTCGGTGAAGTTTACTGTTGGTGGCAAGATTATAATTCGAACATCGTCTCGTCGCTTGGCTCATCTTCTCCGCGATCGACCACAGTGGAAAACAATTACACTTCATCTCCGGAAATGAGGACGGACATTATTGTGGAAGACTTTGAGGCTTCCGGAAATTTTGACTCGTCAGTTAGCCAGCAAGGGCACATAGAAATTAACACCACTTTGTCAGTCACAACGCCTTCTGTACCGACCATTTGCCTTGTGATGGGTATTAATTAATTTTTGTTCTTTCTAATTAATTATCTATATAATATTTTAATTTAACAAATCTTAGGTATTCGTAGTTAATTCTTATTTCAAGATCGTCTTAAATAATATCTTAATGCGGCCCTCTGATTGATTCGTGACACCTCGAGACAGAACGTCAGACACGATCTTGAATATAAAAATTGACTATGAATATTACCCTTTAAGAATCTTTTTATATCGATCCATATTCCTTATCACAAACGATACACAATAATTTAATTATATCTACATTCAAGAAATATAAACTACTTTTATATAGTAGATAATATATATTATTTTATTAAATAATATATGTATATTACTTATTTATTTAATCTAATTTTAATAGCTTTCTAGAATTGTTTTTGTATTATTTATTTTCCAAATTGTTTTTATTAAAGCATTATATAAATGTTTAAAGATTTAAAATTTCGTTTTAAAATTTACTTCTCTCGTACCCTACATCATCTCAGTACACACAATAGTACGTTTAATATTCATAGTAAAGGGTGTCCCAAAATTAACGCAAGATTTGAATTTGCCGCCATTTGTGCAGTAAAGTGTTGGCAATCCAAAAAAAAAAAAACAATTTAACAGCTGACAGTTTAGGGTTAGTGAAAATGGAGCGTGAAAATGTATTATTGAACATCAACAAATGGATGCTGATTTTTCGAGCAAAATCATCCTAAGCGATGAAGCACATTTTCACCTTGATGGCTTTGTTAATCGCCAAAATCGCCCCCTAGATCGTGTGATTTAACACCATTAGATTTCTTTTTATGGGGTTATTTGAAATCACAGGTCTATGTCAACAAGCCCACAACCACCCGTGCATTAAAGGAGGAGATTCAACGCTGCATCAACGAAATTCAGCCACATTTATGCAAAATGGTCATGGAAAATTTCGACAAACGAGTGCGTATGTGCATGCAAAGCCGTGGAGGCCATTTGCCCGATGTGTTATTCCACAAATAACCCTATCCTATGTACTTTATGATTCAATAAAAAAATAACAATCAAAAGACTAAAAACTGTGTTTTCTATTTAATTCAAATCTTGCGTTAATTTTGGGACACCCTTTATCTCGACGCAAGATAAAAGCGTGAGCCTTTATATACTTTAAAACCTTATATTTTCTTTTATGTATTATAAAAGCTGCGCGTTCATATGAATATATGCGGTTCCGGCCTTTTTATACAAAATTCGTATACCATGAAACTTGAATTATAGGGAGAGAGTATCGACAGGGTGAGATACTACCACACTCAACCGGGAACTGCGTCGAATGCAGCTGCGGATCCGAAGGCCGCATCGAATGCTCGCCAAAAGACTGTGTGGCACTACGACCCGAGATATTAGTTGCACCTGATAAATCTGAGGTACCCGACGGGGATTTCGAAGTTTTCAACTTATTGCGAGATTGGGATATCGACGAAAATTTCTAAAGTATCTGATAACGAGTCGTACAAACTTGCTCAGTTCTGCTGATTGCTGCGATATTATTAACGTCGAAAGGCTAACTTCTCGTTTAATTAAACACGACTTCAAAAACCATTCAAATGTGAACAGATATCTGCAAATGAAAATAGATCTTTGAGAGTAGATTGATTCTTGAATGGATTCGGATTATCGAAATTGAATGAAAAAAAAGTAAGAAGTATATAGATTTCGCGTTTATACAGTTCATTGCGGCACGAATAATTGAATAACATTTATATCAAACTCTTTTTAATATTTATTTAAATATAATCTCGGACTATTTAAATATAATAAAATATTGATTACGAGATTATAGAATTAGAGAATTTGCGCTTGACGATTTTTGACACTAAGAATGATCGCGTTTTTTGTTTTATAAGAATTGTTTTTTTTTTTTTTTTTTCGATCAAGGATGTGCCTTCAATTATTTGTCATATACGTCATGGATAAAATCAAAACGGCGTAGAAGGCATAGTCCTAAAATAACTAGTCTAGATTTTTTTTTTATAAAACTGTCAACGAGTGAGAAAAGAGCCTATTCTAAGAAATATATTTTACGTAGATATCCTCATTAGAGTTTTCTTTCCGAAATGCAAGTAGATTAAATACTCTTTATATAAGAATCTTTCGATAAATTAACATCCATCTACTTCAAGCCTATCCAATTTCAGCTCCGAAGCCAAAACGTAAAGCCATCGACGCAAAAAAAAAATCAATATGAATAAGATTTCAGAGACTGTAAAGTGTTGATACATGTCTGAGCGCTTATCAACATTTTATCAGGGTCGGATTAAGGTTTTTGCCGTCCCTAGGTAGTGAAATCCTTGCCGCTCCCATTCAACCCTCCAATAACCGTATGCTTATAAAGAATAAAAAAAGATTTCTGCAAGGATTGAAGTAGCTTAGCTTTATTACTTTAACGCATACAGTACATGTGTACATTTTATTTTTTATATTTGAACTTTACGCGCTTTTTTCACAGCAAACACATTAATTGTATAATTTTCTCAATCGTTATTCGCGCAAAAAGTGGTTATTTTTTAAAACTTCCAATTCTTTAAAAAAAAAATGCTGCTTTTCTAAACTTGTCGCCTCTAAGCATAGCCTAAAGTAGTCTATAGTGCTAATATGACACTGCACTTTACAGTCCATAAAATCTTACTTGAATTTTTTGCATCAATGACTTTACGTTTTGGCTCCGCAGTTCATATTGGATAGGCCTGATTCATTTTATCAATTGTAAAAAAATAGAACTTATTATTTTTTATTTAAATAGTTCATATGAAATTTCTTCATTTTAATTTATTTGATTTGGATCCAATTTGTAGGTACGTTTAGTAATTAATTCAGCGAGTAGAAAATTCGTGTCTATATAGATTCGATATAAGAATGTTTTTGTAGACGACGGCCTATAAATATATCATAACACATGTACGTCAGCCCGCCTTATGTACATGTGAAAAATGCTATTGAAAATGAGCTTAGCCATTACTAGTCACAATAATACAACGTAAAAAATTGAACAATATTCTTCGTCATACCTCATATCCTAATAGATACATAATCAAATATTGTAGTGAAGATTGTGTAATTTATGTCACATATACTCGTATATATATATATATACACATATATGTGAAATGATGTATATCGTCATATTATATAATCTTATATACATATTTACGATAGAATAATGCCAATAATATGAATAACGAAAATCCCTTGTTGCAATAGTTTACATGATATAAGAGATTGAATGATTATAGAAACGTAGTCAAGTGAAAAAATTCACACAATAAGAAAAAGAACATTTAACAAAATTCCTAACATTTAATATATACTACAATATATGCACAATATATATTATATATAATATATATAATTTGTATCATATATATAAATATCATACAATATAAATACAATATGTTTGATTTAAATGTATACACCCAGTTATTTTTTTTATAAATATAGAGTTAAAGGAAATAAGAAAATTTTTTGAAAAATTGTAAAAACTGTACAATGATTTAAACAAAAGTTCTAAATTTTTTTAGTAAAAACTTTTACTTGAAATATTTTGTTTCTCATAACTAAAAGCGACATAAGTAACAATATCTCATGAACGATTATCAAAAAATGCATTTTATCAAAAATTACATTATTGAATTTGTCATAAAATATCTTATAAAATATGTTACAAATATGTTATTCTATATAGGAAGATAAAACTGCCATTGAAAGCATTTCTTTAAAATGATTTAAAACTTCTATTTAAAGTCACATAAATCTTCTTAAACGAAATATCTTTTATTTGAAAGAATTGTTTGTAACTCTATTATTTAAAAAATAACTAACAATAAGTTTATATACTTAATCAAACACATTGTATAATTATATACGATATTTATTATATTATATCACATATATAGAGTAATATATAATTATAATATTTTAATTATAATTAATCATATGATATACTAAAAAAAACTGAAGTATTAAGAAAGAAATAATACCGCATATAACCTATATTACGATAATATGCGTTTAAGATTGCAGTCAGATAATATTTTTAGCATGTCAGGACCAAATAACCTCCCTTCCTCTTCTTAACTCTCGCCCTCAATTCTTACTCTCATATAGTAGCATGCATAGAATGAAAATATCGTTTAATCATGCGCATAACGACATTTTTATCCTAGGTGTGGCTAATGTGAAATAACGAGGAGAAACAACACGAGAAAATTTAAAAAATACGAAAGTTGAAAGACTTAAAGTTACAGAGGTGCTAAGAGATAATAAGAATACGGAGGTTCGATTGTATTTGACTACAGTTTTATATAAGTGTAAACCGCGATGTTTACTTTTGTAAACACTGTTTTTATGTTCAGTTTTGTAAATACTCCCTAGTTAGTTTTGAAAATATTTCTTACGGCTCGTGGATATGCGTGCAAAATAGTCGCATAGTCTGAGTGCCATTTTTGCATAGATGATAGCGACGTAGTAATTTATAAGCAACTTTGTTAAACATATATGAAGGGTATTTCCAGAAAGTTTTTTATTAAAAAATTATTTTTTTAACATAAGTCATATCGATAACGAGTTTAATATTTTTTTTTCGTAACCGAGGAACCCACGCAATATGTGAAAGTGATGATAGAACCGTATAATTATGTACTTTTGCGACGGCGACAAAAAGAAATCGGTTGTATAATTAAAGATAATTAAATTAGATAATTAGTAATCTCTGTGATATATACATCACGAAGATAATTTTGTCTAACAAATTTACAAGTTTAGATCGGAGAGTTATTCTTTCATAAGAGCTCTGATGGAATGTCTGATTACTGTTAATTTTGATAGTTAGAATTATAATATAAATGACAAATTTATTTTTTAACATTTATTTTTAACAATTGAGAGAACGGATAAATATAAAAAAAGTTAGATTCCGCCTCCTTTTGTCTTTATCAATTTTTAATTAATAAGTAATCTTATAATCGAATAGTAAAGAATTTAAATAAATAAGAAAATAGTTGCTCTGAAATTAAAGAATTATTCTTTACAGAATTATTCTCTGAAATCAATTTAAAACTTCTTAGATATTTGTTGAATATCAATTTTTAAACAATTTTTCATGCATTTAAAAAAATTTTTCATTATTTCTTGCATGAACAAAAATTAACAGTTATAAAATTTAAATTAATTTTTATTATTTATTATCTTTTTCGTATTATAGAAACATATTAATACGTATCAGTTTCTGCTTATTCTTTTTAGAATGAAGTATTCGATAACTCTATTGTTACAAAAAAATCGTAAATAGAAAGTCATGGAAATGATATTTTTGAATATCTTTCTATACAAGGATTAGTTATAGTTGGAAATTAGTTACTGAAAAGAAAATTAGTTACAAAATATCTTCTAATTACTGACAATCCTCGTTCGTTGAACCAATAGTATATAAAATCTCAATATAAATTCTGTCAATATTTTATTATATAAAAAGATAATAAAATGTTTTAATTGAATCGAAATGCAAACATATCGCTTCCTCACTTTAAAAGTGACAACTAAACAAATTAAATTTCCCAGAAAAAAGAAAATATTTTTCAAACTATTTTTAATTAAAAATTATTGATTAAAAATCAAATAATATTAGAAAAAAATTCTTAATATAATCAAATCTCATTTTTATTATTTTTATTTTATAATATTTAAAAATTACTTTTATAGTTATTACTTTTTTTAAACTACTATTTTTTAATTGTAACAATTTTTAAGATTTTTTTTATAAAGTTTAGTTAGATCATTTATGATGATTGGGCAATGTTTATTCAACTAATTCATAATAAAAACTTGAAAATCACATTTTTCAAGTAAAGAAACGATATGCTTTGAAGTTACAGCTTTAAAATATGTAAATTATTTGAATCATTTTTATAAAACAAAAACGTCTTGATTAGTTATCAATTGCTGCACATACGATTTCTAATAGAATTTTAGTTGCTTCTTGAACTTGCATCTTACAATTTAAGAATTCTAAATTTGCCTTCTTTTACTATTCTCTTCTATATCTCATCGTTTGTGATGTACGACATTTAAATTATAACTGCCGGAAGAGAGAACAATCATCATAATAAATATCATCCCGTTCGTAACTCTTCCTATCATCCTTATCAACTAATTGTTTAGAAGTTTATTGACAGAATTTATAATTGTGTATGGAATCCTTCTGTATGGAAACCTGTAAATCTTTTAGAAAATTCCTCGCAAGAAAGTGGCACATCATCGCGGGACCATTTTAATAAAAATAAGTAGATCATCTATTATTTTTTGTTTTTGTTCACACTTGAATAATGATCTCGTACGTCTTCCAATTATCTTACGTGGAATTGTAATCTGTATCGTGTTCCTGCGATTATACACATGTCTTCACAGAAAAATTGTATTCGAAATAAAGAAAGATCTTATGACACACGTGTGAATATTTATATTTTACTATCTTTAAATTATATATATATATATATATATTGTTTATTTTATTTTCTTCGTAACATTATATGTATATTAGATCTTGCACTAGAGCTCTCTTTCTCGCTTTTGCTAAATGTCGAACATGTACTTATTTCATTTTAAGTTTCAAAAGTATACACTACTTCAGCCACAGAAAACACCAGATTTATTATTAAATATTTTGAATATACATATATAAAAGGAACTACCTTTTATTTTATGCATTCATACTGACACTTGTAAACTGGCTTGTACATCTTAAATAAAATTGATGAGTCCCAAATACCCGATTCTAATCGAAAAACAATCATAGTTGAAATGGAGGAGAAAAAATATAATGGTTTACTTTCAATATAATCCTAATGGTCATTCTGTAATATTGTATATATATTATTAGATGTGTTAAACACATAACGATGAAGGGAAGTTCCGTATAAAAAGCCTTTTAAGGCATTTCAAAATTCTGAAATTTTCCTTTTTAAGTCACGTATATAATCTTATTTCAAACGTTGAATTACTTCAAGATGAGCAATATAAATGGTTGGCACGCGGCCTTGGTTTTGATAATTGTCGTTATTGCGATGCATTGCGCGTTCTGTTGTGTTTACGAAATCGTTACTTAAATCACACACAATTTAAGCAAGTTGTTCAAGCAAATAAATTATATAGCATGCTTCGTGTATCGAGATGTTATTGCGTACGACAAATAGTAACAGCTATTTTACAAAACACTTTTTTCATGTGGCACTTTTTTACTAAATACGAACGAGATAGATTAATTCGTATCAATTTAGCCGATAATTAATAATTTCTTAAATATTAATCTTAAATAGTGCTTTTTTTTATAAAACTATTTGTATTTCGTATGGAGACTTTTGAAGTGTAATTAAATAGATTTGTCATTCAGATTATATCGATCTATGACTATTAATTACATACATAGTCCAAGAAGAATTAATTAAAAAATATTATCTCTCTAGATGATAAAATATTCTAATTAATTAATTATTTTGACGTAATTAACGGACATAAATTAATTAAATAAAATTTTTGTATAAAATTAATTATATTTTGTATATAAAGAAATGTTTAAATGTAATTAGAAATATTTGAATTATTTTTGAATAAATTAAATTAAATATTTTTTAACTAATTAATCTCTTGCATAAACAAAAATTAACAGTTGTAAATACTGTTAATTTTTATTCATGCAAAAGATTAATTTGTTAAATTTAAAAAATATTGTGTAACTAGCTGACATATCGACTAAGTTCACTCGAATATGGCTACGTAGTTCAATATATCAGACACTCAATGTTCAGACACGTGTTTTGTGCATATCGAGGCGCTAGTGGACGAATTCCATATAGATAAAATACAAGCAATACAAGTCTCAAGTTTTTCCATATCTGTGGTTTAACCTTGATTGACATATGTTCTGTGATATAAGAATATAACGTATTATTACGTGTATTATTACGTATAATAGTGGTAGCTAACAAAACAACTCAAACGAACAATTAATTAAATTTTTATCGTCACTGGAGCAAAATTTTTTATTGACTCACCATGTTGGACACGCGATTACGCATGCTCTGGAATGATGCTTCTTTTTGTATATTACATTTTATATATCATAATGCATTCCATAATAATATATATTGTATATAATTGTGTTAATAATATGTTATAAATATATTTAACATATAGATTTTAATGTCACAAAATTTAAATTAAAAAATGACAGATATTAAGATTTATTTTCTTTCCATAATTTATAATAAAATACACTTTAATCCGAAAATTTATATATAAAATCTTATCGATTATTGGATGATAAAGTTATGTTTTATAAATCGTGTCTCATATATA